CCTCAGAACCTTCCTCCGTTCTGAGGAAGGGTCCCTGGACCCGAAACGTTAACTCTGTTTTTTCCATCACAGATGCTGCCAGACCTGCTGAGCTTTTCCAGCAACTTGGTTTTTGTTGTTGTTGTTGTTGACAGTAGTTATACTCACTTGTTCTAGTGTTCTGTGTATCTTAAGTAAGTCTGACATTCTTTCCTCAAAACCCGAAGCAAAGCAATTTGGACTTATGGCAATGAAACATTGTCCCTGAAAGATAAAGTGAGCATAAGGGCTCAAAGGTTAGTGACAACATTCATTGCTGAACTTTGTAATATACATCAATATAAAATCCTTGAAAAGGGGCAGACACACAGAGAATGGGTTCAGACCATTCGACTTTGTAGGTGTATGTTATGATGATCAATTCGCAAGCACCCCAAGAGTGGGATCTTTTTCACTGGGATACAAGAGATTTGTTCATAATTTTTCAATCCTTTCTTGCTACAGGTGTGATGTCACAGGGCTGGAGGACTGTCAATGTTGCACTGTTGTTTAAAAATGCAGGAAAGGATAGCCCGAGTAATTACATGTTAATCAGACTCACTGAGCAGAATCTGCCCAGCCACTGAATGATGGGGACAGTGGCAAGAAAATCAGGAAATTTGTGTGAGGTCACCTTTCAGGAGATTTCTGACATTGTAAGCAAAATATCCCATTTTCTAGAGATAGTAGGAACTGCAGATGCTGGAAAATCTGAGACAACAAGGTGCAGAGCTGGATGAACACAGCAGGCCAAGCAGCATCATAGGAGCAGTAAGGCTGACGTTTCGGGCCTAGACCCTTCACCAGAAATGGGGGAGGGGAAGGGGATTCTGAAATAAATAGGGAGAGAGGGGGAGGCGGATAGAAGATGATAGGTGGAGAGGAAACAGACAGGTCAAAGAGGCGGGGATGGAGCCAGTAAAGGTGAGTGTAGGTGGGGACATAGGGAGGAGATAGGTCAGTCCAGGGAGGACAGACAGGTCAAGGGGGCGGGATGAGGTTAGTAGGTAGGAAATGGGGGTGCGGCTTGAGGTGGGAGGAGGGGATAGGTGGGAGGAAGAACAAGTTAGGGAGGCGGGGACGAGCTGAGCTGGTTTTGGGATGCGGTAGAGGGAGGGGAGATTTTGAAGCTTGTGAAATCCACATTGATACCATTGGGCTGCAGGGTTCCCAAGCGGAATATGAGTTGCTGTTCCTGCAACCTTCGGGTGGCATCATTGTGGCACTGCAGGAGGCCCAGGATGGACATGTCGTCTGAGGAATGGGAGGGGGAGTTGAAATGGTTCGCGACTGGGAGGTGCAGTTGTTTATTGCGAACCGAGCGTAGGTGTTCTGCAAAGCGGTCCCCAAGCCTCCGCTTGGTTTCCCCGATGTAGAGGAGGCCACAGCAGGTACAGCGGATGCAGTATACCACATTAGCAGATGTGCAGGTGAACATCTGCTTGATGTGGAAAGTCGTCTTGGAGCCTGGGATGGGGGTGAGGGGCGAGGTATGGGGGCAGGTGTAGCACTTCCTGCGGTTGCAGGAAAAAGTGCCGGGTGTGGTGGGGCTGGAGGGGAGTTTGGAACGGACAAGGGAGTCACGGAGAGAGTGGTCCCTCCGGAAAGCAGATAAGGGTGGGGAGGGAAAAATGTCTTTGGTGGTGGGGTTGGATTGCAGATGGTGGAAGTGTCGGAGGATGATGCGTTGGATCCGGAGGTTGGTGGGGTGGTACGTGAGGACGAGGGGGATTCTTTTTTGGTTGATATTGCGGGAACGGGGTGTGAGGGATGAGTTACAGGAAATGCAGGAGATACGGTCGAGGCGTTCTCGACCACTGAGGGGGGGAAGTTGCGGTCCTTGAAAAACGAGGACATCTGAGATGTATGGGAGTGGAATGCCTCATCCTGGGAGCAGATGCGGCGGAGGCGAAGGAATTGGGAATAGGGGATGGCATTTTTGCAGGAAGGTGGGTGGGAGGAGGTGTATCCTCAGACGACATGTCCATCCTGGGCCTCCTGCAGTGCCACAATGATGCCACCCGAAGGTTGCAGGAACAGCAACTCATATTCCGCTTGGGAACCCTGCAGCCCAATGGTATCAATGTGGATTTCACAAGCTTCAAAATCTCCCCTCCCCCTACCGCATCCCAAAACCAGCTCAGCTCGTCCCCGCCTCCCTAACCTGTTCTTCCTCCCACCTATCCCCTCCTCCCACCTCAAGCCACACCCCCATTTCCTACCTACTAAACCCATCCCGCCCCCTTGACCTGTCCGTCCTCTCTGGACTGACCTATCTCCTCCTTACTTCCCCACCTACACTCACCTTTACTGGCTCCATCCCCGCCTCTTTGACCTGTCTGTTTCCTCTCCACCTATCTTCTCCTCTATCCATCTTCTATCCGCCTCCCTCTCTCTCCCTGTTTATTTCAGAACCCCCTTCCCCTCCCCCATTTCTGGTGAAGGGTCTAGGCCCGAAACGTCAGCCTTACTGCTCCTATGATGCTGCTTGGCCTGCTGTGTTCATCCAGCTCTGCTCCTTGTTATCCCATTTTCTAACCAGGTGTTCGAGGGCGAAACTCCATTCTCGTGAGTGAGCAACAAGAGGATTATTTATTTGCATTAACATGCATTAAAATTCTCATCTTACAACATCTCATTGATATGTTGTTGCCCATTCTCCCACCCTCCAGAGAGAAACTAGGTGGATGCAATTGTTGACATGAGCATCGGAGTGGTACCTGGTGACTCCAGCTCGCCATTTGCTCCTCTGGGCACTGGTCACCTACATTTTGGAGAATGTTCCATGGGCAGGCACTGCATGCACCCTCCACCCACCAGGACCTGTCAAAAAAGCGGGATGCCTATGTCAGGGATAATTGACAAGAACGGTTCTGGGTAGCGGCTGACTGTCTGTGCTTGACCGGGTGCATGGTTGGGCTTTAAAAATCTGCTGACACCAGGAATCCCAGGGGACAATGATAGTGGCCGGTACCTCCACCTATGATGACTGGCAGGATACAAATGAACATTGTGCCATCGGGGCACAGAGTACAAGTAACAAGTTGAGTTTGGGCAGATAGCAAGTTTTCTCACACTAAGGTTTACAAAGAGAAACCCTCCATAAAACTCACCAAATCTAATACTTAACCAATTTTTGGTTAAATTCAGCTCACCTCTCACTCCTAATTACTCAGTCCAGAGCCAGTAACATTCTCATACAAGCCCTCTACCTCACTCTCTCCCTCTCCCTCATTCTCGCCTCCTCCATATTTGTTTAACCTGATTATAAGTTTTGTGATAACAAGAAAGGCTGATGAGGGCACACATATGACACCCTGTACTTGGATTTTAGTGAGGTTTTTGACAAGGCAAATTGTTTAGTAAATTAATAGCTCACGAGATCCAAGGAAAAGAAGGAATTTGGATTCAAAATTGACTCAATGGCAAGAAGCAAAGGGCTATGGTCAATGGTGTTTTTCTGATTGGAAGGGTGTTTCCGTTTGGGGTTTTGCAGGGCTCAATGCCGGGTCCCCATTTTCTCATGGTATATATCAATGATTCAGACTTAAGACAAATAGAGAACAATGGAGACTCAGAGAGAAGGAGACAGCAGGGAGAGGGATAATGAGGAGATTGGGCAAATAGTGAGGGACGGGACAGTGCAGGATGGAGATAAAGTGAAGGAAGGAAGGGTGAGGGATGGTGAGGGATGGAGATAAAGGAAGGAAGGGTGAGGGACAGTGAGGAATGGAGATAAAGTAAAGAAAGGAAGGATGAGGGACAAGCAATTAAAAATTAATAATACTCAACATTAAAGTGAAAAATTAAATTACTTGTTGCTTCCATTAGGTTCAGTGATGCCAAGAGTTTTGTATTTGTCAAGAATGGCGGGGTTCAGAGTGAGGGAGAGAGGTAGTGTAACAGTGTGGATGAATTTGGTATGAATATTCAAGTTTGAGTAGAAAATGCAGCAATGCATCCAGTCTGGAGCAGTGTGAGTTTATATTCAATATGATGAATGCAATCATTAAATGCAGGAAAAGTGAGTCCTCACCAGATTGGCCACCTTGTTTGTCTCCTTCCAGGGACGAATGTTTTCACTGTATAGAGATCCTGACAGTATGCCACAGAATACTTCCACCATCAGACTCAGTCCATATCCTTTGTAACCACCTGAAAAGAGAACACAGCTTCCAGTGCAAATAATGATTGGCCAGTTACAGTACTCAACCAGTAAGCTGGATCAACTCTCTCTCTCTCTCTGCTTCCCTTTCCTTCTCTCTCTCCTCCGCCCATGCATTTCTACCTTCACGTCCCGTCCTTCCTGCCCCTCTCCTACTTTCCACTCCTTGTCTCCAATCCCATTGTTCCTCTGTTCTTATCCTCTTTTCTTTCACCTCCAGCTGCCCCATTCCTTCCATCCATTCCACCTCCTCCTTCTTGAAGTAGGGAATTCTCTCACTGGATAGTGGATACCTGCAGGAGTTCAGCAACTTGTCACTGTTCATACACTAGCCCCCATGAGTGTGAGTGGGCTAACTGCCCTTGGGAGGGAATATGCCCAGGCTCAATCTGCATTCGGTCACCCTAAATGGATCTTAGAACCAAGGAATATTGAAGGACAAATCAGCTAGTCATTCCCACTTTGCCATGCTGTCAAGTATTTGTTTTTAAGTCAGTGATAAATATTAGTTTCAAGAACAAAAACAGAAGTTGCTGGGAAAGCTCAGCAGGTCTGGCAGCATCTGCAAACAAAAATCGGAGTTAACGTTTCAGGTCTAGTGGCCCTTCCTCTGAACCATAGAAGTTCTGAGAAAGGGTCACCGGACCCAAAATGTTAACTGATTTTTCTTCACAGATGCTGCCAGACCTGCTGAGCTTTTCCAGCAACTTCTGCTTCTGTTTTTGTTCCTGATTTATAGCATCCGCAGTTCTTTGGGTTTTTATAAATATTAGTTTGTCTGCATCGAACGGCCTCCCACATTTACTACCAAAGGTACAGTGTTCTAGTGAATGGCAAAGCCCAGAACTCATGGTTAGCCACCATCTCTGAATGCCTCCTAATCCACAGGCAGGTTCAACCCTCTGAACTGACTAATTGGTTCTCTTCCACGATGAACAAGACTTGGAGGAAGCACTGAGGCACAGATCCACCCTGGGTGGGACCTCAATGCCCATCATCAAGAATTATTCAGTAATGGTACCAATGTTACAAATCCTGAATGTTTCAGGTGGAGACTGTTGCAGGCGATGAGTGAATGAACACAAGCAAGCAACCTTTTCGGAAACTCTTTTATCCACAGTGTAACCACAGCATAGTGCTCGTGCTGACAAAAACTTATCTCTATCTAGAGGACATAGGATTGATCTAGCAAATCAAAACTGAATATCAAGAGTGCATCTAACCATCACCCATTGACATTCACAGCACTGCCATCACTGTCAATATCTTGGGAGTTACCATTTATCAGAAACTGAACTGGACTTGCTGTGTGGCTACAAGAGCAGGTCAGAGGCTATGAACACTGCAGTGAGTAATCCACCTCCTGATTCCCCAAGATATGTCCATCGTGTACAATGCGCAAGCCGTGAGTGATGGAAAACTCGCTTGCCTGGATGATTGCAGCTCCATAAATACTCAAAGCTTGACACCACCCAGCAGCCCGCTTGATTGGCAACACATCCACAAACATTCACTCCCCGCAAACCCGATGCTCAAGAGCCGCCGTGTATACCATCTACAAGCTGTACTACAGAATTTCAGCAAGGCTCCTTAGCCTGTACCTTCCAAACCCATGACCCCTTCCATCTAGAAGGACAAGGGCAGCAGATACATTGGCACACCACCAACTGCAGTTTCTTCTCCAAGCTACTCACCATCGAGACTTGGAAATGTTTCACCGTTTCTTCATTATCACTGGGTCAAAACTGTGCAACACTCTCTCCCTTACATTTATACATTGTCTTGAACTTCAAGGTACTTCATGACATGTACAGGATTAGGGTGTGATCTGGAGCACAAAATGTTTATTGGGTGAGGCAGCTAGGGAGGTAGCCATCTGTGAAACCATATACCAGTGAGAAATTTCACATTTCCAGGAAAAACGATGGCTTAGAAGACAATTGCGTAAAGAAAAATTAAAGAATGCTGCTCTTCTACAGCATTTAAAAGTAACAAAAATGTTCCTGTTTTTAAAAATAGAGCACCTCTTAAATGTAAGTAATAAATTCCACCTGAGTGTGTAAATATTGGATGTATGCTGCTATCCTATATCATCCTGTATTAGTGTTGTCATGAATTTCAAATGGCCACAGAACCCTGGCTTATATTCAGGAGGAACACAGCAGGTCAGGCAGCATCACAGGAGCAGGAAAGTCAACATTTTGGGTTGGGACTGAAGAAGGGTCCCGACGCGAAATGTTGACTTTCCTACCCCTCTAATGCTGCCTGAAATGTTGTGTTCCTCCAGCTGCACACTGTGTTGACTCTGACTCCAGCATCTGCAGCTCTTGCTATCTGTCTGGCTTATATTTGCTTACTCTCACTCTGTTTTGACGACCATGTCATTTGGCAAAATACCAACAATTAATGAAACAAAATTCGCTTCAGGTTCATTTCCATCTTAGTACTTTTTAGTTTTAAATCTTTTGACCCTCCCCACCTGTTATATTCACTTTCCTGTTTTTAACTCCTTTGTTGTTGTGATAAATAGCACACAACTATGACATTTCAATTAAAGCTTTGTTAAATACATCAAAATGAAGGAGGCAATTCCAAGGTAACGTTGAGTGTAAGATGTAGGCAATAAATTTCCAAATAAATTTCTTGACCCTAAGAACAATAATAAAATTCAACATCAAGCACACACACAAACACTGGTAGTAAGTTCAAAAACAGGGGAGGATGTATACTATAAACATGAAGATAAGGTAGATGCTGTTTCAAGTTCACACAGTCTTTGAGTTGTGAGATTGAAACCTGAATCTAAGCCAGTTTCCCTTCTGCCTTGACAGTAGTGAAATTTATGCTGGAGCTTTTGGTGAATGGCTGTTTTCCCAAGTTGCTTGTTTGCTGAGGACTTCTTTCGAGAAATGATAAAACGCAAGGAGAGATACAGAGCAAGTCTTCTAGATTCAGTTTTTATGAATCCATTCTACTTTCTCTCTCTGCTCTGCTAAGCAAGCTACTAAAATAGTGCTCATTTGTATATTCCTTAGACCAGCTCCTTTCCCAAGCTGAATAGTCTGCAGGTAACCTTTCAGCTCCCAATGTGTGAACTCATTATACAAGTGTGAATTAAACCAGAAATGCAAATTTCATAACTGACTCCATTGTTTGGTTTAGAGATAGTAGGAACTGCAGATGCTGGAGAATCCGAGACAACAAGGTGCAGGGCTGGATGAACACAGCAGGCCAAGCAGCATCATAGGAGCAGAGAGGCTGACGTTTCGGGACCATTGTTTGGTTTCACTGTTCTTGCACCAAAATTACTATTTCAACCAACTTTTGCTCTCTGACTCTCTCTCTCTGATGGAGTGTCTTACATATGAGTCCTCTGGACTGACTTTAATCTGTGGTCAGGCGATCACAGCAGCTGTAATGTAGAGACTACATTATCTTAAAACGCAATGTAGAAACATCACCTGAATCCAAATCAAATATAAAGTGCATGGGAAGATGAAGATTCAATATGGGGAAAATAATGTCCTCAGCTTGTACGGAATTAGCAGATACATGGGAACACCTGCCAGTTCCCCTCCAAGACACACACCATCCTGACTTGGAAACATGTTGTCATTCCTTGACTGTTGCTGCGTCAAAATTCTAATGGCATTGTGGGTCTACCTACAGCACATAGACTGCAGTGGTTCAAGAAGGTTGATCACTACCACCATCCCATTAGGGACAGGCAATAAATGCTAGTCGGCCAGTGATGCCCACGTCCCACAAGTGAGTAATTTTTTTATTAAAAAGGGGGCTGTGGGGTATCACCATCAGTAGAACTGTATTCCACCATAATTTGCAACATCATCTTCCAGCATCTTTCTCTCCTCACCATTATCAGCGATTCTAGTTCAATAGTGGCTATTGAAGATGCAGAACCAGGCATATCCTAGAATGATGTATGAACCTAGTGAAGTTAGTTATTCATTGGAAGTTAAATACTCTTAGACATTGTTCAAGAATACATTTCTAAATTAGTGTTTTATTTCAACCAACCATACACCATAAAACTTTCCTTGCTGACTCTATACATATTTGAATACTCTGTTGTTTCTTTAAAATATGCATATGCTTTTTGCATACATTTCAATACCTGTTGCCTTCAACTCCTAGGCATTTAACATCCTATTAACAGAATGAGATGCTGACAGGAGTCAATAAAGGGCCACTTTGTTAGAAACAGCACTTAACAGTTCCACAACAGACAGCTCAGAGCTAAGCTCTGCAGCTTTACTGCATCCAGTTGAGAATGGTAGTGGACAACCATATACCTAATGGGAGGAGAAACATCTCCATTCTCAATCGCACTGTAACACAGCAAGTAAAGTGAAGTGAATAGAGAAGATTCGATCACAAAATTTAAAAGTGTCTTCAGGCAAAGGAGCTGATTGGATGATTCTTCTTAGCATCCTTCCAAGATCTCATCATTATAGATGTCAGTCTTCAGTTAATTCAGTCCACTCCAAATGATATTAAGAATTACTGTGTGCACCAGACATGGTTAAAGTTCTGGACCCTGCTAACACCCCGGCTGTATTGCTGAATATCTCTACTTCAGAGCAAGTCACTCCCTGATACCAACTTTACCAGTCCAGCTCTAATACCTACCCAGGTATCACCTATCAAAATACAACAGGGGAATTCAAATTTACACCTCAGTGTTGTAAACAAGTGGTGTACCTCTGGGCTAGGCACTGTAACTGAGTGGGTTATCCAGGAGTGAGGTGCAAAGTACAATCTGTGTCCAGTACTGGTTGGAGCCACCTTGAATACTGTGTCCAGTGATGGTCACTGTGGAAAAACATTCAAACACTGGAGGTGAGTGTGCTGGAGAGTGGCATGTGGTTAGAATCTCTCTGGGTACCTGGATTTAAATAAGTTGAACAACATCCTTCATCATAAATAAACTGATGTAAAGAAAAGTAAATGTAGATATCACTTACTTGTAGCCTCACTTCCTCCCAGGGGCAATAGCCCTCCACCCTTCAGAACCTCCGTTGGATCAGTGGTACCTTTGCCTTTGGAATCACAGCCCCATCCTACTGGAATTTTCTCTCCATGTCTTTGCTGTACTTCTATCTAAAACGATGGAGATTGAACAGTTCATAAACATATGCTTGCAGATCGCAGTCACGGAACAACAGCAATTCACATTTATACAACATATGGCACTTTGTGGGGCATGTGATCAGACAACATTTTACATCAAAGCACAGAAAAGAACATACAGGCAGATAACCCAAAACAAAGCTAATGATCAAGATTTTAAAAAACACTTTGCAGGAGATGATGGAGACAGAGAGGCTTACACAGATAAGGGCATGGCCACATCTTTTTCCCCAATCAATCTGTTCAGGGATGGGAACAACAAGGGATTTGAACCTGGGTTACCTGGCTCAGAGGTAGAGACACTACCACTGCACCAGAACAGCCCTAAAGGCAAAGGCAGATTAGTCTTAACAGACCATAGGGCTGCCCTCTCATTAAAAAGAGAGAGATGACTAGTAGCAGTTTAACCTGAGGGTCACTACGCCTCAGACATGGGGAGATGTTGAGGAAGAGAATCCTTCATGGCAACCTTGGCTGGTGTGGGAATTGAACACAGACTGGTGGAGTCACTCTTCATCACAAACTGGCCAGCGAACCATGAGTACTGTAAATAAAATCAGAGGTGTCCAAGAGACTAGATTTGGATTGGTCCCAGTGTGTTGTGAGGCTGTAAAAGATTACAGACACAGGGAGGGCGAGATGATACAGGTATTTAACAAGAAGGGATGAGAATTTCTTTTTGCCAGGCTTAGCCAGAGCAGGAGTTAATGTAAATCAGCAACCAGATGGGTAATGGGTGGAACGGGCTCAGTTTGAGTTAGGATATGGACAGCAGAATTTCTAATCATGCTACTTCTGTGGATTGTGGAAGTGCAGCCAGAAGTACAGTTAATTGGTCAAGGTTGGAGGAAACAAAGGCATGGAATAGGGTTTCAGCAATGTGTGGTTTAACCTATATAACTAAAATGAAAGGAATGAAACTTTGCTGTACCTTTCCCAGAGCCACCGCTGACGTGGCCATGTCCAGAACAAAGCTATCACCATTCAGGGCTGGAGCAGCAACACTAATAGGATTGGTCCCCAGAGTACACTGGAAAACAAGTAAATACTAGTTATAAGGTACAATTTTAAAGTGGGTGTAGGAACAAAAGGTCATCAGGTGATTGTACACAAACCTTTGGAGGTGGCGGAACAGGTAGAGGAAGCTGTTTTTAACAAAAGGTGAAAGGGATCCTGGGCTTTATTAATACAACCATAGAGAACAAAAGCAAGAAGTTGGGGTAAACTTTTATAAATCACTTGTTGGGCTCTGCTGGAATATTATGTTCAGTCCTTAGCAATTGCCTTCAGGAAGCATGTCAAAGAAGATGCAGAGGAGATTTGTTAGAATAGTACCAGGGATGAGGAACTTTAGATAACTGGAGAGAAGAGAAGCTGGGAAAGTTTGCCTTAGCGCAGTGAGTGAGATTCAGGACAGATTTGATCAAGGTATCCAAAACCGTGAAGAGTTTTGAGATAGTTAGTAAGGAGAAACCAAAGGACCCAGATTTAAGGTAATTGGCAAATGGAGGGGGTGAGAAGAATGTTTTCTCAAGTAGTTCATGGTGTGCTTTTAAATTTCTGTGAGAAACAATAGAAGCAGGTTAAATAATAACTTTAATCAGAATTGGATAAATACAGGATTTGGGAAAGAAAACATATGCAGAATGTGGGAAAACAGCAGGGGGTGATACTGATTAGAAAATAAGTCAAATGGCCACACCTGAGCTGTGAATTGCCAGGAAATGATCAGTATATGACCAGCGCAGAAGTGATTATGATGCACAGTATCAACAAATGTTTCACGTGAGTGTCATTCTCTCCTGCAGGTACTGACCCTCCTACACTGAGTGAAACCTCTCAGAACCGGCTGCAATCCAACTCCTGCCCAAAGGCCTTTGTCGAGGGTAAATGAATGCCAACACGGACAGACCTGGGGTCATCTTAAAATCTTTACACAAGGAGCTGTGGTGCTAGGACCAATGGATATTCCTTGGTGCTTGAGACCTTGGCTGGTTTATGGGTTTATTAGCCTATGGGTAACTAATTCTTGGTCCTACCACTGAGACTGATTAAATTCGCACAGTGAGATTAATAGCTGGGACATTCCTGGTCTCCATAATCAATGCTCATGTGGTTTATTGTTATTGGGATTTGAACCAGCTGCCCCAGAACTTGCAAATTACAAACTACCAAAATGTGTTACCAAATTTGCTAAATCTCATGGACTGGCACCAAACGTGGTAACCATAGAAGCAGCAGACTGTTGTGAAGACCCCAAACGATCCCCTACTGTCTTTCAAGGGAAGAACCTACCACATCCACCAGGCTGATGTTACATAGCTGATCATTAATGCCCTCTAGAATGTCTGAGCTGGCCTCTCATAGCCAATAAAAACAATTTATCCAGTGTCCCACCCCCAACACAATAAAAAGACTGGCAAATTCTTTCACACGTAGATGTAGCAGGCTGGTTAGAACACGAAAGTCATCCATAAAACAATTCCCTGTGACTAAAGTCCGTGAGCTTTACCTTCTTTCCTCTGGTTGGCACAACCACTGGAGAGGTGTTAGTGCAAGTCATTCCCTGTTGAAAATAAATGCAAAGATTATAAAGAGCTGTGAGTCCAACTAGGGATATTTCCAAATCATTCTGTGGTGTACAAGTTACTCTACTTACAATTAAACCGTGTTTTAGTGCTTGCATGGAATAAAATCCTGCAATGCCGTAATGATTAGATCCTGCAATGACAATGAGATACAGTAAAGTCAAGTATGTTAATAAGAGATGTTCTCAAATCTCCAAGCCAACCTAATAAAGGTAGTTGTCAAGAAGCTGGTGTTTAATGCTATGGAATAAATTCAGAGAGCAGTACTAGTCTGCTCGTAGATCATTGCATTGCTATTTGAAGTATAGAAAACGTGCCACTCATGAGATGACAACTAAACATCTGTTTGTGTGATAGAATTCCTTAGGTTTGGAAGCAGGCCATACGGCCCATTAAGTCCACACCAACCCTTCAAATAGCAACGACCATCCCCATCTCCCATCCCTGTAACCCTTCATTTTCTATGGCTAACCCACCAAACCTGCACATTCCTGGGCACTCTGGGAAATTTACACAGCCAATCCACTTTACATGCATGCCTTTGGACTGCGGGAGGAAACTGGAGCACCTGGAGGAAGCCCACACAGACATGGGGAGAATGTGCAAACTCCACAGGGACACCAGTGGGTGGAATCAAACCCAAGTCCCTGGCGCTGGGAGGCAGCAGGGCTAATCACTGAGCCACAGTGCCTGACGCTGGTTGAGGAATAAATATTTATCACACTGTGAAGAAATCCTTTGCTGACTGGTGTTCTTGTTTGGCCACATAAGTGGGCACTGGGGGCTTCAGGTTAAAGTTTCATCCAAAATACTGTATTTCTGACAATGCTGCCTCCCTCAGTACTGACTTAATGAAGTGAAGAGCTTCCTCAGTTCTGACCCTATGGAAGTTCAGCACTCAGTATTCAACAATACAACAATCCTTAGAATTGAACATGCAACAATGAAATGTTCCTCAGTACTGTACCTGTAGCACAATGCTTCCCAAATGTTTTCCACTATGATCCCATCTTGAGGCTTGAAACTATTATAACCCCTCATAAGGTGTAGCAGTGGAGGAGAAGGCCTATTCGAGCTTGGGAGTGGGAGAGGGGCATCCATTGCTGCCTCAGATATCGCAGTGTCAAAATTTCAGCTTCAACCCTCCACTTTGGAAAGCCATACTCAATGGGCAGCACACCCTTAGCACAGAACATCGATGGTACAGTGCTCCCTCAGTAATGTCTCTCCAACAATGCCGCATTCTTTTATTGCTGCCTCTCCAACACTTCTATGCTCCTTTAATACTGTCCCTCTGACAGCACAGCCCTCCCTTAGCACTGCCCCTCTGACAGCTCAGCATCTCTTAGTACTGATTGCCAGTAGTGCAGAGCTGCCTTAGTTCTACTCCTCTGAGAACGCAGCACTGCCTCAATACTGACCCCCTGACAAAGCAGCACACATTCAGTACAACAAGGTGCAGGGCTGGATGAACACAGCAGGCCCAGCAGCATCATAGGAGCAGAGAGGCTGACGTTTCGGGCCTAGGCCCTTCATCAGAAAAGGGGGAGGGGAAGGGGGTTCTGAAATAAATAGGGAGAGAGTGGGAGGCGGATAGAAGAGGGATAGAGGAGAGGATAGGTGGAGAGGAAACAAACAGGTCGAAGAGGCGGGGATGGAGCCAGTAAAGGTGAGTGTAGGTAGGGAGTTAGGAAGGGGATAGGTCAGTCCAGGGAGGACGGACAGGTCAAGGGGGTGGGATGAGGTTGGTCGGTAGGAGATGGAAGTGCGGCTTGAGGTGGGAGGAGGGGATAGGTGGGAGGAAGAACAGGTTAGGGAGGCAGGGACGAGCTGGACTGGTTTTGGGATGCGGTAGGGGGAGGGGAGATTTTGAAACTTGTGAAATCCACATTGATACCATTGGGCTGCAGGGTTCCCAAGCGGAATATGAGTTGCTGTTCCTGCAACATTCGGGTGGCATCGTTGTGGCACTGCAGGAGGCCCAGGATGGACATGTCGTCTGAGGAATGGGAGGGGGAGTTGAAATGGTTCGTGACTGGGAGGTGCAGTTGTTTATTGCGAACCGAGCGTAGGTGTTCTGCAAAGCGGTCCCCGAGTCTCCGCTTGGTTTCCCCGATGTAGAGGAAGCCACACCGGGTACAGTGGATGCAGTAACCGTTTGCCAATGCAGCATTCCAACATTAATTCGTTGTCAACAGTACAATGCTCCCAGTACTAGCTTACTGGCAGTACAGCACTCTCCCAGTACCACACCAGGAGTGTCAGTTTGGATTGTATACAGTTATCTGTGGAGTAAGACTCAAAGTGAGTCCTTGAATCCCTGAGTCCAGCCTGGTACCAATGCTTTCACAGTTAACATTTAAATACCCAGATAATCTCTCCTCATGTCATCTTTGGTTCTTTTGCCAATTGTCTTACATGTGTCACCTGTAGTTAGTGACTCTGCCACAGGAATCAGTTATTACTTATTTACTCTAGCATAACCCATCATGATTTTGAACATTTCTATTGAATCTTCCTTAGCCTTTTCTGCCCTAGAAAGAATAACCCCAGCTTTTCTAGCATCTACATAGAACTGAAGCATGTAATTCATGATACCATTCTAGTAAATCTCCTTTCTACCTTTTTCATAGCTTCAGCATCCTTCCTGAAGCATTGTTGCCAGAAGTGAACACAAAACTCCAGTCAGGATCTAATTAATGTCTTATAAAGGTATACTACAACTTTCTTGTTTTATGCTCTTGGATAATATAAATGAAAATTATGTTGTTTAAACATTTCTTGTTGTTCATGAATCGGACATGGACATCACTGGCTGGGCCAGCATTTATTGCTCCTCTCTACTTGCCCTTGAGAAGGTGGCGGGGAGCTGCCTTCTTGAACTGCTGTAGTCCATATGGTGCAGGTAGACTTACAATGCTCTTAGACAGAGAATTCCATGATTATGACCCAACAACACTGGAGGAATAGTAACATATTTCCAAATTAAGATGGTGAGTGGCTTGAAGGGGAACTTGCAGGTGGTGGTGTTCCCTTATGTCTGCTGCCCTTGTCCTGATGGTAGATGCTAATTGTAGTCATTGTAACAAAGTCAGCCAGGTGGACCTCATAGAATATGAGTTCACTGATTGGGGCTGATAATCAGGTCCAATCAGGGAGCCCTCGGTGACAGACATAAACAGGAGTGTTAGAGACATCCTGTTCATTCTGAGAGCTGGTTCTGAGGGAGCTGGATCAGTGTTGATGGACTCTCCACGTGTAAATAAAGGGTGACTTGGTGACAGGACACCAGCTGCTGTAGAGTTACTACAGTAATAGTCATGGGTTTGGAAAGTGCTGTCTAAGGATCTTTGGTGAACTTCTGCTGTGCATCTTGGTAGATAGTACACATTGCTACTACTGAGTGTCAGTGGTGGTGGGAGTGGATGCTTGTGGATATGGTGCCAATCAAGGAGGGTCCTTTGCCCTGGATGGTGTCAAGCTTTTTGAATTTTCTTGGAGCTGCAGTCATCCAGCCAAGCATGGAGTATTCCATTATACTTTTTACTTGTTCCCTGTAGATGGTGGTAGGCTTGGGTAGTCAGGAGGCAAATTACTTGCTGCAGAATTCCGAGCCTCTACCCTGCTCTTGTAACCACTGTAATTATATGGCTAGTCCAATTCTGTTTCCGGTCAGTGGTAACCCCCAAGACGTTGATAGTAACATCATTGATGAAGGTAACATCATTGAATGTCAATGTTTGAATTCAATGCAAACATTGAATGTTTAACACTGATTATTTTTGGAAAGTTCAATTCAAAAGTTTCTACAAATAAAATAGATCATCAAGGACTCTGACTGAAAGAAATGGATAAGAAACTGCAAATCCATTTTCAAAACAAAAACATCTTTAACAAATTCACAATTCCAATTATATCTAAGAGTATATTAGAATCCTGTTATATTAAGTTTCTTGTGCCCACAGTGCTTATCAACCAGTGGCCTTACCAGTGCAAGAACTGCACCTCAATTAGGCAGCTTTCTGGAGCTTGGCAATTTTGTTATTTTTACTTTTCTGGTTTCAGTTCCTTTGTCTTTCAGTTAGCAGCACATCTGTTCTAGGCATATGTTTTGTTCCTTCGTTCCCTTTTATCCATTCCCTTTGGCCTTGGAGGACTATACTTTTTGTCATTAAATCTCTCCTGTTTTTGATCTTATCATACACCTTCCTTTGTCATTGTCTTGCCCATCTCTTGCTTAAAATCGATTACACCTGTAACTTTTGTAAGTTCTGCTGAAAGGTTGCAGACTTGAAATTTGAACTCAGTTTCTCTATGTACACAGACACTGTCTAATCTGCTGTGATTTTTCCTGAACAAAAGCATAAGTTGCTGGAAAAGCTCAGCAGGTCTGGTAGCATCCGTGAAAAAAAAATCAGAGTTAACATTTCGGGTCCGCCGACCCTTCCTCAGAACTGGACGCTGTTTCGGACTTGAATTGTTAACACTGATTTTTGTCTTCACAGCTATTGCAGACCTGCTGAGCTTTTCCAGCAACTCTTGTTTTTGTTCCTTATTTACAGCATCTGCAGTTCTTTCAGTACTTTTTTCCAATATATTTTTATTTGGCATTAGTATCTCTATAGTCTGAGACAGCTGATGCAGTTACAAACCCATACAGGCAGTTACCATGATAAATATGGGTGTATATAAGAGTTCATCATTGAACCATAAAAGAAGCATGGAATTTAAAGACCCTATATTGACCAGAAGGCAGTTCCTAAGCCAGAATTTTGGTTCAGCATGAAGGTGAAGGGTCTGCATGAGGACATCAATGGAATAGTATAGTCAAAATCCGTTAACCCCAAGAGCACATTAGAATTTGGTTTTGATTAATTCATTAGACGTTATATTTATAGGTCAGTATTTGTTGTCCATTCCTAATTGCCCTTGAGAAGGTAATAGTGAGTTATCTTTTGAACCACTAAGGTCCATGTTGATAGGAATGGAATTCCAGGACTTTGAACCAGTGACAGTGAAGGTACAGTGATAGCATTTTAAGGCAGGATGTTGTGTGGTTTGGAGGGAAACTTCTCGATGTGGTGGTCCCATTGGCTACTGCCTTGTGGTTATAGGTTTGGAAGGTGCTGCTGA